ATGAATTTTAATACTTTGTGTAAATCATTATGGAAGTGATTTAGTTGTATACCAAGCTTGCTTTCTAAGTTGAGTTGTAAATAATGTGCTTATGTATGCACATTGTTCATAATTTAACTGTGCTGTTTTTAAATGTTGTACAGTTCATAGGCAGTAAATGATTTTAACTCTGATTCCTTAATAAACTAATATATTTTAGATGTTGTTGTTAGGTGTCGTTGATTAGGTTCTGACTCATAGGACCCCTACGTAAAACAGAACAAAACATTGCCTAGTTCTGCACAATTATCACAATCATTGCTATGGTTGAGCCCATCATTGGAGCCACTCTGTCAGTGCCTCTTGCTGATAGTCCGCCTATTCTGCTCTGACCCTCTACTTTACAGGAAAAAAACAAAGACCAAACTCACTGCCATTGAGTCAAATCTAACTCATAGTGACCCCCTTTGGGTTTCCGAGGTGGTACATCTTTACAGAAGCAGATTGCCCAGTCTTCCTTCCACGGAGTGGCCAGTGGGTTTGAACCACCAACCTTCTGGTTAGCAGTCAAATGCCTTAGGCACTATGCCACCTTCTACTTCACCAAGCATGATACCCTTCTCAGGGACTGGACCCTCCTGATAACATGACCGATGTATGAGAGTCAAAGTCTGGCCATTCTGAATTCTAAGGAGCATTCTGGCTGTACTTGTTTCAAGACAGATTGCTTTGTTCTTCTGCTAATCCATGGTATATTCAATATTCTTTGCCAACACCATAATTCAAAGGCATAAATTCTTATGCAGTCTTCCTTATTCATTTTGCACCTTTCACATAAATATGAGGCAATTGAAAATACCATGACTTGGTCAGACACACCTTAGTCTACAAAGTGACATCTATACTCTTTTACACTTTAAAGAGGTCCTTTGTAGCAGATTTGCCCTATGCAATATGTCCTTTGATTTTTTGTCTTCTGCTTCCATGGGCATTGATTGTAGATTCAGTAAAATGAAATCCTTGCTAATTTTAATCTTTTTTTCCATTTATCATGATGTTGCTTATTGGGCCGCTTGTGAAAATTTTTGTTTTCTTTATGTTGAGGTGTAATCCATACTGAAGACTGTAGTTTTTGACCTTCCTCAGTAATTCCTTCAAGTTGTCTTTAATTTCAGCAAGAAAGGTTGTATCATATGCATATGACAGGTTGTTAATGAGTCTTCCTCCAATCCTTATGCCCCATTCTTCTTCATATAGTCTATCTTCTTGGATCATTTGCTAGGCATACACACTAAATAAGTACAGTGAAAGGATACAATCCTGACACATACTTTTCCTGATTTTAAGCCACACAACTGGACCTATAAGCATCATCACGATAAATGGAGAAAAGATTGAAGTTGCCAAAGACTTCACATTGCTTGGTTCTACAATCAATGCCAATGGAAGCAGCAGTCAGGACATCAGACAAGCACTGGGCAAGTTGGCTGCAAAGGACCTCTTTCAAGTGCTGAGGAGCAAAGATGTCTCCTTGAGGACTAAGGTGCACCTGACACAAGTCATGATATTTTCAGTTACCTCATATGCATGTGAGAGCTGGACAATGAATAAGGAAGACTGAAGAAGAATCGATGCTTTTGAGTTGTGGTGCTTGTAAAGAATGTTGAAAGTACCATGGGCTTCTAAAAGAACTAACAGATCTGTCCTGGAAGAAATGCAGCCAGAATGCTCCTTGGAAGTGAGAATGGCCAGACTTCATCTCACCTAGTTTGGTCATGTTGCCAGAAGGGACCATTCCCTGGAGAAGGATGTCATGCTTGGTAAAGTGCAGTGTTGATAAAAGAGGGGAAGGTCTTCAATGAGATGGATTGACACAGTGGCTGAGGTGATGGGCTCAAGTATAGTAAGGATCATGGAACTGGCGTGGGACTGGGCGGTGTTTCGTTCTGCTGCGCGTAGGGACACTGTGAGTTGGAAATGACTTAACGGCACCTAACAACAACACAATAACAACATGGTCCCCTTACTCTGTTCAAACAACTGCCTCTTATTCTATGTACAGATTCCTCATGAGCACCATTAAGAGTGTTATAGAGTTCTCATTCTTCACAATGTTAGCCATAATTTGTTGATGGGCACAGTCAAATGCCTTTGCATAGTTAATAAAGGACAGATAAATATCTTTCTGGCATTCTCTACTTTCAGCCAAGATCCATGTGATATCAGCAATGATATTCCTCATTCCATGCCCTTTTCTGAATCTAGCTTGAAATTTCTGGGAGTTCCCTGTTGATGTACCGCTGCAAATGTTTTTGCATTATTTCAGCAAAATTATACTGATATCTGATATTAATGATATTGTTTGATAATTTCCACATTCTGTTGGATCACCTTTCTTTGGAAGGGACACAAATGTGGATCTCTTATAGTAGGTTGGCCAGGTAGCTGTCTTTGAAGTATCTTTGCGTAAATGATTAAGCACTTCCAGCATTAGTTTGTTGAAACATTTCAGTTGGTATTCCATCAATTCCTGAAGACTTTTTTTTTTTTTTTTTTGCCAATTCTTTCAGTGTAATTTGGACTTCTTCCTTCAGTACTACGATTTTTGATCATATGCAACTTCCTGAAATTGTTGAACATCATCTAATCTTTTGAGTGCAGTGACTGCGTATTCCTTCCTTTCTCTTTTGATGCTTCCTGCATCATTCACTATTCCTCCCATAGAATTCTTCAGTATTGCAACTTGAAGCTTGAATTTTTTCTTCAGTTCTTTCAGCTTGAGAAATGTTGATTGTGTTCTTCTCTTTTGATTTTCTAACTCCAGCTCTTTGCAAATTTCATTGTAAAAATTAACTTTGTTTTCTTGAGCAGTCCCTTGAAATTTGTTCAATTCTTTTACTTTATCATTTCTTCCATTTGCCTTAGCTTTCCATTCAAGACCAAGTTTCAGAGTCTCTTCTGATAATCATTTTCATCTTTCCTGTCTTTTAATGACTTTTGCTTTCTTATGTATAATGTCATCCACAATTGATGGTCTCTTCCACAGTCAGCCCCAGACCTTGTTCTAACTGATGATATTGAGCTTTTCTACTGTCTCTTTTGAAAGATGTAATTGATTTGATCCTTGGGTATCCCATCTGGCAAGGTCTACATGTATATTCACCATTTATGTTGTTTGAAAAAAGGTATTCTATCATAAGATCTTTGGCATCATTTCTGTCACTGTGGCCGTACTACTGATGCTGCTTCTTTGTTTCCAACTTTTTCATTCCAATCAGCAGTAATTGTCAATGCATCCTGATTGCATGTGTGATCAATTTCAGACTGCAGAAGCTGGTAAACATCTTCTGTTTCTTCACCTTTGGCTACAGTGGTTGGTGTGTAAATTTGAATAATAGTGACCTTAACTGGTCTTCCTTATTGTTGTTCTTATTGTTGCTAGGTGTTATTGAGTGAGCTCTGACTCATAGTGAAGCTACGTGCAACAGAAACACTGCTCGGTCCTGCGCCATCCTCACAATCCTTGCTGTGCTTGAGTGCATCCTTGCAGCCACTGTGTCAGTCCATCTCATTGAAGGTCTACCCCTTTTTCACTGACCCTCTACTTTACCAAGCATAATATCCTTCAGCAAGGAATGATTCCTCTGACAACATGACCAAAGTAGGTGAGACAAAATCTGATCATTCTTGCTTCTAAGGAGCATTCCAGCTGTACTTGTCCCAGGATAGATTTCTTTGTTCTTCTGGCAGTCCGTGGTATTTTGAGTATTCTTTGTCAACACCACAATTCAAAGGCATCAGCTCTTCTTAGGTCTTCCTTATTCATTGCCTAGGGTTGACATGCATATGAGGCAATTGAGAATATCATAGCTTGGGTCGGGCGCACCTTAGACCTCAAAGTGACATCTTTGCTCTTTTAATACTTTTAAGAGGTCCTGTGCAGCAGGTTCTGCAGTGCAATACAGTGTCTGATTTCTTGACTGATGCTTTTATCATTGTTGAGTATGGATCAAGTAAAATGAAATCCCTGATAACTTCAGTCTTTTCTCCATTTATCATGATGTTGCTGCTGGTTCACCAGTCATCTGTCAGTGTGTCATATGATGGTGGCTTGCATGTTGTTGTGAGGCTGGAGGCTATGCCACCGGTATTTCCAGTACTAATAGGGTCACCCATGGTGGATAGGTTTCAGTGGAGCTTCTAAACTAAGACTGACTGGAAAGAAGGATGGGCCATACACTTCTGAAAAAATCAGCCACTGAAAACCTTATGAATAGCAGTGGTCTTCCTTGTAGATGTATTAGTATTATCCTATCATTAACAGCATTGTACTTCAGGATAGATCGTGATTTTTTTTTTTTTTTTACAATGAATGTGATGCTATTGCTCTTTAATTTGTCATCCCTGGCATAATAGACCATATGATTGTCTGATTCAAAATGGCTAATGCACATCAATTTCAGTCACTAATGGCTAGGATAATAATCTTTATGTGTTCCATTTCATTTTTGAAACTTCTAATTTTCCTAGATTCATACTTTGTGCATAACACAATCCAAGTATTAATGGATGTTTGCCCATTTCTTCTCATTTTGAGTCATGCTGCATCTGCAAATGAATGTCTAGAAAGCTTTATGCCATCCACATCATTCAGATTGACTCTACTTTGAGGAGGCAGCTCTTACCCAGTCATATTTTGATCACTTTCCAACCTCAGAGTCTCATCTTATTGCATTATATTAGTGTTTCCCTATTATTCAAAAGGTTTTCAGTGGCTTATTTTTTCAAAAGTAAACTGCCATATCCTTTTCTCTAGTCTGTCTTAGTCTGGGAACTTCACAGAAAGCTGTCTACCATGGGTGACCCCGTTGGTGTTTTAAATAACAGTGGCATAGCTTCCAGCATCACAGCAACGTACAAGGCACCATAGCGCAACAAACTGACAGATGAGTGGTGGTATTTTAGATGAGAAAACTAAAGTATTTATTCACATATACTTACTTTTTCTGTTATTCAGTTTTGTCAAAGGAACATGCTTCACAAGTCCTCGTTAGGAGACGCCGTGCAAATTCTATTCTTGAAGAAACAAGAAAGGGTAATCTTGAAAGGGAATGCATTGAAGAACTGTGCAATAAAGAAGAAGCCAGGGAGGTCTTTGAAAATGATCCTGAAACGGTAAGAACTCATGAAAATAATGAAATTTGCATATCTAGACATACAATTAGGAGCTCTGGTGGTGTAGTGCTTAAGGCATTTGACTGCTAACCAGAAGGCTGACAGTTCAAACCCACCAGCAGCTCTTTGGAAAGAAGGTTGGGCAATCTACTTCCATCATGATACTGTCTCTGAAACCCAAGGAGGGGTTGCTATGAGTCAGATCTGACTTGATGGCAGTGAGTTTGGTTTTTTTGGTTTAGACATATAATTACTAACAGAATATTTCCAGCTTGAGTCTGTGTTCCCTTGTTTTCCTTTTTTAAGTTAATAATTTTGTATATTACCTAGCACATGTAACCCCTGGGGCATTATAAGGGAAAATGGCCTTAAAGGAAAGTATACTTGTTAGGAAGTCACTATTGACAATAGCAATGTTGTCTAACCACACTATCATTCAACATTACTTCATTATCAGCAAATATCACTAACCTCATTGTTTTTAAATACTTCCTCCCAACAGGAATTTGGTAGTATTTGGAGAATACAAGCCAGGTATACATTTATATATTTGTGTGAGTGAATGAGTGAGCGAGTGTGTGTGTGTATGTGTGTGTAAGAGAGGGATCATACTGCTATCACTATGATTTATTTAAATCATGCTTTAGAGAACACAACCCTCTAATCCAGAGCTTGGTACATAGAACTCAGTAAATGCTTATGGAAGATTTCATAGCGCTATGAGTCGGGGCCGACTCGACGGCACATAACAACAACAACAACAACAACTATGTACTCTTGAGTATATTTTAATTCATCATATAAACCCTTAGGAATATTCTTGAGTCCACTACATATCATCAGTAATCCCTGATGTTAGAAACTTTAGGGCTGTGGAATGCTAGAACAAAATTTTCCAAGTTACTCTAGAAAAATATAATCATAAAAACTAAATTTACAATAATTATTTGTAATATATATATTAGCCTTACTTTAGTGCAAGAAAAGGCTCAAAACCTTTTCCATGATTTAAAAGCTGAATGTGCAGTCAGTGAAGGTGATTGTGATGAAGAATTTTCTGTTAGTAGGATTGGTTCAGTCATTTCAAAGTGTATACAGACTTTCACATTAAAGTGCAAAGTGAAGCAGGAAGTTCTGATGTAAATGCTGCATGTGATTTTCCTGAAATACTGAAAAAAAAATATTGAGAAGGAAGGTTATTTGCTGGACCAAATATTTAAGGAGATGAGACTGGCTTATTTTGGGAAAAAATTCTGGAAAGAACCTACATTTCAAAAGAAGATAAACATGCACCAAGGCATAAGGCATCAAAGGATAAGCTAACATTATTGCTTCGGGGTAAGGCATCTGCAGAATTCAAGCTCAAGCCTTTGCTTATGTGTTGCTCCCTAAAACCAAGGGCACTTCTCCATATCATTAAGTCATGTTTTCCCATTAGTTTGAAGACAAAATGCAAATGCAAATGTTTGTGTTACAATTGTCATCTTTGAAGATTGGTTCTTGAACCATTTTGTCCCTGCTGTTGAACATTATAGCTTGGCCAAGAAAATTCCTTTCAAGATTGTCTTTGAAAGTGTCTTGACAAAGCACTTGGACAACCAAGCACTTTAGAGGACCTTTACCCCAAGGTAAAAGTCATTTTTTACCCCTCAACACCACATCACTACTTCAGTCAATGGATCAGGGAGTCATAGCCTCTTTTAAGGCCTATTATTTATGACGGACCTTCTCACAAGCATTCAGGGCTACCCAAGATAATATGATGAGCTTAAGCGAGTTCTGGACAAATTATAACATCTGTGATGCCATCTATCCTGGAAGAAGTAGATGGAATGCTCCTTAGAAGCAAGCATGGCCAGACTTTGTCTCACTTACTTTGGTCATGTGGTCAGAAGGGACCAGTCCCTGAAGAAGGATGTCATGCTTGGTAAAGTGGAGGGTCAGAGAAAAAGTGGAAGACCCTGAACAAAATGGATTGACATAGTGGCTGCAAGGATGGGCTTAGGCATAGCAAGGATTGTGAGGATGGCATAGGATCTCAATGCATTGGAATCAACTCGATGGTACCTAACAACAACAAGATGATGGCATCAAAAAAATTGGTGATTCTTGGGATAAAATGAAGCAGTCAAATATGAAAGAAGTATAGAACAAATGGTGGCTACAATCACACATACTTTTCAGAGGATTACAGCTGATGACATTGCTGAAGCTGAAGCTAGACCACTGTGGTTGATATTGGTAATCAACTGCAGTTAGAAATCAGTGAACCTGATGTAGTAGAGTTAACCAACTCCCATACCAAAGAACTAACCAATGAAGACTTTATAGAACCAGAGTAGCAGATAACAACATTTGAGGAAGAAGTCTGGGATCTGAAAACTCCAGAATCAAGCTTTTTTTTTATGAAAAAGTTAGCTGAAGCCTTTCGTTTTTTTACTGCCATCAAGTTGATTTGACTCGTAGTGACCCCTCCTTGGGTTTTTGAGGCGGTATCTCTACAGAAATAGATTGCCCAGTCTTCCTTCTGAGGAGTGGCTGGTGCATTTAAACCAACAGCCTTCTGGTTAGCAGTCAAATGCCTTTACCACTAACCAGAGTACACCACCAGAATTCCCTTTATTGAAGCAGGGATGGCAAAGTCAGAGGAGCAAGGTCCTAATATAGAGAGGTTCACCAAAGCTTATTACAGTTACTGAGAGCCTCACCTGCTATAAGGCCATTTATGATGAGAAAAAGAAAAGCTCTGTACAAACCTTCTTTGATGCTACTTCCAGAAATTGATTCCAGTGGTAAATCCTGCCCCTCCAGCAGCAAAATCAAACCCTACCTCTCCAACCCCAGGCCCATCATCTTTAAAAATAGCTATCTCTCCATCACTTTCTCCTTCATCATCCAGTTATTAATATTATAATGTTACTTCAGCAAGACCCTTTCTGGTGTGAGAGACATTGATGGAACAAGGGTAAGTGTTAACCTTGAATGATGATCTTTTTTCCTTTCTTTTTTCTATCTCAACTGTTATAGGAATTGTTTCTTTAATGTATTGTGACAGTGCTGTATACCTGTACACATACACACATGGATTCTCTCATCGGTATAATACCATATATACTTTTATTATTACTAAATTATTATTATATACTATTATTATTATGTTGAAGATATCTTAGTGTATTTGGAAATGTTTCTTAAGTGTTTTATCTGCATAGAAAGGAAAAACATATAGTATATACTAAGACAAACATTTGATTTAACTGGTGCTAAGTAAGAACCCTATGTACCTACTCCAACTTACCTACAAATTTGACTTATAGAAAGACTTAGGAGCAGATCTTGTCCATAAGGCAGGGACTGCCTGTATATCTCTATATTTATCTATTGTGTAGAAATATGTATCTCTTTCTCTCTCAGTGTATATATAATATGCACACAAATATATAATACTCATTTTTATTACAAAAATTTAAAACAAACACATGAAGAAAGCAAAAATGTCATTAAAAAGACAGGAAAGCAAGAAAAGACAAAAATGGATATCAGAAGAGACTCTGAAATTTGTTCTTATACTTAGAGTAGCTAAGCAAATGGAAGGAATGATGAAGTAAAAGAGCTAAAGAGAAGATTTCAAAGGGTGGCTCAAGAAGACAAAATAAAGTATTATAATGAAATGTATTATAATAAATTATATAAAATATAATTATATATATATATGTATATATAATATAAATATATATAAAGTATTATAATGAAACCTAGGGAGCTCTGGTAGCATAGTGGCTAAGACACTTGCCTGCTAACCAGACGGCTGGCGGTTCAAACCCACCAGCCACTCCTCGGAAGGAAGGTTGGGCAATCCTACTTCCGTAGTGATACTGCCTCGGAAACCCAAGGAGGGGTTGCTATGAGTCGGGTTTGACTCAACGGCACATAACAACAACAACAACAAGTGCCACTCTGACAGACATACCACAAATATATAGTTTTAACAAACAGGAATTTATAGTCTTACAATTTAGGAGGCTAGAAGTCCAAATTTAAAGTGCCAACTCTAGATACTGGGCGAAAGCCCCTTGACCTTGGGCTTCAGCTCTGTTTCTTGCTCCTGGTGCACTAAAGCTGGAGGCTTCTCTTAACTCAGCTGTTGGCTGCAGAGGCAGACAAACCCAAGGTTAAAAAGTAAAATGGCACAGTCCCACAATTATCAAACCACTTGGCAGGGCACTAATTCAAGTCCATTAACAGTCTCAAGATTGGCAGACAACGTGGCAGACCATTGAGATGATTTGGTCAGATGCAGGATCCAAATGTGCCCAAAGCTCAAGACCTTCCTCAAAGGATTTTTTTGTATGTGCTGAAAGCAGATCACATCCCCAAAGCAGCTACTTACCTAATCACAGTAGATTCCACAGTGGAAATTGATTACCAGTCAGTCTCATCATGGGTAATAACTACATCCAGCTGCCCAGCTACACAAAGCCAGGCCCAGCCAAGTTGACTCATAACCTTAACTACCACAACACAGTAAGCTTCAAGGGAAGATGGAAGAAATACAGAGTCATTTTACCAAAAATAATTGACATTCAACCATTTAAGGAGGTAGCATATGATAAAAAACCCTGAAGGAAATCCAAGCCTTCAGTATGGATTACACCTCAACATAAAGAAAACAAAATATCATCACAACTGGTCCAATAGCAACATCATGGCAAATGGAGAAAATACTGAAGTTGATTAATTTTACTTGGATCCATAATTAATGCCCATGGAATCAGCAGTCAAGAAATCAAACAACATATTGAATTGGGCACTTCTGCTGCAAAGGAGCTCTTTAAAGAGTTAAAAAGCAGAGATGTCACTTTGAGGCCTAAATTGTGCCTGACCCAAGCCATGGTATTTTCAATCACCTCATATGTATGTGAAAACTGGATAGTAAATAAGGAAAACTGAAGAAATGTTTGAATTATGGTGTTAGGAAATAATATTGAATATACCATAGACTGCCAGAATGAACAAATCTGTCTTGGAAGAAGTACAGCCAGAATGTTCCTTAGAAGGAAGAATGATGAGACTTCATCTCACATACCTTGGTCAGGTTATCAGGAGGGCCCAGTCCCTGGAAAAGGACGTCATGCTTGGTAGAGTCAGCAAATGAGGAAGTCAATGAGATGGGGTAACACAGTGGCTGCAACAAAGGGCTTGAAGATAGCAATGATTGTGAGGATGGAGCAGGACTGAACAGTGTTTTGTTCTGTTGTACTCGGTTGCTGTGAGTTGGAACTAACAAGATGGCCTGTGACAATAGCAAGACATATACAAAGAGAAGGATATGATAGGTTGCAATATACCCATAATTAACCACAGACTAACAACCTACCATTCTTGTGTTGCCTGTTCTCTACCTCTCCCATTCCAAGTTTTTATTTATTTATATTTGTTTGTTTTTGGTGGAATATTTTAAGGCAAACCTGTATGTCCCAAATATTATATTACCAAACCCAACCCATTGCTGCCGAGGGGACTCTGACTCATAGTGACCCTGTAGGACAGAGTATACCTGCCCCTAAGTTTTCTAAGGCTTTAAATATTAATGGAAGCAGACTGCCACATCTTTCTTCCACAGAGTGGCTGGTAGTTCAAACCATCAATCTTCTAGTTAGCAGCCATGTACTAAACTGCTGTGCCACCAGAGCTCCTTAGAAATGTTACCCAAAACCAAACCCACTGCCTTCAAGTAGATTCTGACTCATAGCAACCCTGTAGGGTTTCCAAGGTTATAAATCTTTATGAAAGCAGGCTGTCTTGGCTTTCTCCCTTGGAGTAACTGGTGGGCTTAATCTACCAACCTTTTGGTTAGCAGACAATTGCCTTAGCCACAGCACTACCAGTAGAGCTCCTTTAGATGCATTACACCACTCAAAAATACTTAACTGTGTATTTCTGTAGGGTTGGTATGACTTGGAATCACTTGATGGCAACAGGTTTTTGTTGTTGTTGTTGTTGTTTTTTAGTTTGGATACTTATTTCTAGCACAATGTATTCATTATAATGGTTTTGCCTCTAAGTAACAAAACAAGAGTGAAGTACAAGACCAAAATGGATAAGATTGTGGAGAAAGAAAACTTATTTATGGGCTTTTTCCCCTCTACTAATTCTAACACTAGATTAAGACAGTTTTGCATTTGCTAAATTAGAATGTTGAGTATTTTTTCCCATAGAAACAGTGTTTCTCATTAGATGTTCTTATGATTTTAATGTTGTACATTTTACATTTCATGGCTTAAGAAGGCTTTTGTGAACCAACTTGATTGAGAAACTCACCATCAGAACTCTAATATTTTTTTCCCTTTAGTAAAGCACATTCTTTATTCCAAATCACTGATTTACAAACTTTTGGTACAAAATCAATTTACATGTACATAAAATGTAAAAAGAAAATTGCCTACTTTTATTCACTTCAAATTATGTCATTATTATTCAGCACTGAATTTTATTTATGTGATAATCATCAGGATATAAAATATATGTTAAAAAACCAATCAAACCAAACCTATTGTTGTTGAGTCTATTCCGACTCATAGAGACCCTATACAGAAAAAAAAAAAAAACCTCACTGCTGTGGAGTCATATCTGACTCATAGCGACCCCTCCTTGGGTTTCTGAGGTGGTAATACTATGGAAATAGATTGTCCGATCTTCCTGTCGAGGAGTGGCTGGTGGGTTTGAACCAACAGCTTTCTAGTTAGCAGTCAAATGCCTTAGGCACTATGCCACCAGAGCTCCTATACAGACCCTATAGGACAGAGTAGAATTACCCTATAGAATTTCCAGGGCTATAAATCTTACAAAAGCAGACTGCCATATCTTTCTCCTGCAGAGTGGCTGGGGGTTTGAACAGCTAAGTGCTTAATCAATCATCATGATATAAAATATATGTATAACAAGTTGATATTCATTAACTGTGGCTAATATAAAGTATTTTTGAGAAACCAAACCACTGGAATCAAATTGATTCCTACTGCTAGCAGCTCTATGTTGTTGGTGTTGTTGTTATGTGCCATCGACTCAGACCCGACTCATAGCGACCCCTCCTTGGGTTTCCGAGGCAGAATCACTACGGAAGTAGATTGCCCCATCTTCCTTCCGAGTAGTGGCTGGTGGATTTGAACTGCCATCCTTCTGGTTAGCAGTCAAGTGCCTTAGTCACTATTAGAGTTTCCAAGGCTGTAAATCTTTACAGAAGTATACTGCCACTTCTTTCTCCTGTGGAGCAGCTGGTGTGTTTGAACTGTTGATCTTTTGGTTAGCAGCCCAATGCTAAACCAATGTGCCACCAGAGTTCCATTGGATTTTTAAAAAAGAGGGCCATGTAGTATTAACATTCATCTTAAATGGAATCTGTTTTCAGATTAGGAGCCCTTGAAACATGACACAATTGATCAGTATTATTTCAAGCATAAGCATATTATTGTTGTTGTTGTTGTTGTTATTTTGCTGTCGAGTCGGCCCCGACTCATAGCGACCCCTCCTTGGGTTTCCGAGGCAGTATCACTACGGAAGTAGGATTGCCCAACCTTCCTTCCGAGGAGTGGCTGGTGGGTTTGAACCGCCAGCCTTCTGGTTAGCAGTCAAGTGCCTTAGCCACTATGCTACCAGAGCTCCCAAGCATATTATTAGTTTAATGTTATTGGTCATGTACTTGTATATTTTAATATAGAAAAAATATTATAATGTAGAAATTACAGTTATATAGAATTTACACCCTCTTCAACATAAAGATACATTATAAAATTATAAAATCTGAACTTTATAGTGAAATTAAAGTTTGCTAAAATAATGTTTTTTTCTTTTCTTTCTTCTAGGATTATTTTTATCCAAAATACTTAGGTAAGTTCAAAGGATCTCAATCGTATAATCTCAGAAATTGAAGGGGCCTCAGAGATCATTGAGTCCAACCTCTACCCCGATATTCCACCCAATATATTTTCATTAGCCTTTTGTGGTAGTTAAGGTTGTGTGTCAATTTGGCTGGGCTGTGGTTTTGAGTAGCTTGGCAGCTGAATGTAGTTATTCCCCATGATGCGACTGTAATCACTTCCATAGTGAAACCTGCCGTAAACACCTAATTAACTGAAGGGGAGTTGCCTTCAGGGTGTGGCCTGCTTCCATTTTATGTGGAGAAGTTTTGAGAAAAGGTTTCTAGCTTTTTGGCACATTTTGGGCCACATTGCCTGCTGATCTCAGGATTGTTCCTGGAATTGAACCAGTGGGCTGCTATGTTGTCTGCCAATCTTGGGTTCATCAGCCTCAGCAGCCAGCAGCTCTGTGATTAACAAAAATCCTCCAGGTCCAGTGTGCTTGGACCAAGAGGCAGATCTGAAGCCCAAGGTTTGCTCCTTCACCCAGCCCCTAGAGCCAGATCCTGAAATTAGACTTGTAGACTTCTAAAATGTAAGGGAATAAATTCCTGTTTGTTAAAGCCATCCATCTGTGGTATTTCTGTTATAGCAGCACTAGAGAACCACGACAACTTGGAAGTGAGATCTCATTCTATATTGAATTATATTGTCTTTTTATGTAAAGATATGCAGACAGATTTTAATGTTTCTTTAATTAAATGAAGCATTTTGACGTTTAGTCTTTTTTATTCTCATGTTTTTCTCAAAAAGGTCTTTGGAATGATGCACAGTTATATTTCGGTCTTGTACCAGTACATTTTCTAGAAGACTGTTGGTTTTCATGGGTTACCTTTTCATGAAAGGATAGATATGCGTTTCTATGCTTCTTCATAGCTTAGACATAAACCATTATTAGTTAAGTGTCTATAAAGCTCATTAATAAGCTTCTCTTTTTGGTACACCATTTTTTCATCCCTGAGGTATCTATCCAACTTCTGCGCTTGGATACTATTCTGTTCTTAAATGGTGAGGTAGCATTCCCAGATTCAAACAGATTAGATAATTTCAAGCAGGTAGCAATTAAAGGTAGCAATGTTTCAGTTTGCTTTATCCTCGTTATTTGCAGATTCCATATTTGTGAATTCATTTACTTGCTAAGCTTTATTTGTAACCTCAACCCATAGTGCTTTTATGGTTTGAAGATATGTGCAGAAGGGCAAAAATTTATGTTATCTGATGTACACATTCCCAAGTGAGAGTGAACAAATAGACACTTTGTCTTCATATTTCAGTTCTCACACTATACGAATTGTCATTTTCACCGTCTTATTGAGTGCCACATTTTTTACACTTTTTAGTGCTATTTTTGGTGAGTTTGCTATTTAAAATGCCCCCCAAGAGTAGTGCTGAAGTGCTGTCTAGTTGTTCTGGAAGGCTTTGATGTGCTTACAGAGAAAACATGTGTTAGATAAGCTTCAATAAGGCATGAATTATGGCCTTGTTGTCCATGAGTTTAATGTTAATGAATTAGCAATATATAGTAAACAAATTTTCTTTAAACAGGAAAACATACTAAAAATGCTATGCATTGATTGGTTCATGAAAATGTGACCAGAGGTTTGCAGATACCTATCCCTGTATTCCCCATAGAGTAGTTTGTATTCAATAATTTAGTGTCCACAGTGACTTTGTAGAACATAGTAATCACAAACAAAAGAATCAATTGTATAGAAATATATTACTATTACCTGGGAAAGTTGTCAGGAGTTCCAAGCCATAAAGGTGGGGTTTAATATGTACATCTCTCTTTGATGGAGGATCTAGGTCTGGCTCACACAGATGTGCTCTTATTAGGCTTAGAATATTCTGCATCTGTGCATCTTTCCACCCTACTCTCATTTCAGCCAACTTGAGGCTTCAGGCTCCAGGAAAATGAAAAGAAACTCATCCTTTAGGCTCTGATATATGCTAATGACTGTGCATTAGTTATTAGCATACAGACTTGGAAGAAGGAAGAGGCCATTCACTTCTCAAAGAATTGGCCAGTGCATAACATACTACATAAAACATTGTTCTACCTCCTACTTTGGTGAGTAGTGACTACGTTCTTAAAAGCTTGCAAGCAGCCATCTAGCTGCAACACTGGGTCTCTCCTTGTCCAGAGCAAAGAAGAATGAAGAAAACCAAAAATTCATGGAAACAATTAGCCCTAGCGACTAGTACACCATGTGATCCACAGCCTATACGACTATGAGACCAGAAGAGCTAGATGGTGCCCAGCTACATTTGTCAACTACTCAGAGGGGGATCTATGTAGGAGATCTTGGATAGAGAGGGAGAACAATGTGGAACAAAACTCAAAATCATTTGGGAAAAAAAGGGGGGGGGACCAGGTTTGCTGGTCTGATAGAGCCTGGTGGAACCACTGAGACTATGACCCCTAGCTGCCCTTCAGGTCGGGAATTGAACCCACACCTATAGCTTCCAGACAAACAAAAGACAGGCATATGAGTTGAACTTTTACCTGTGGTAGGAACAATCCTTGGAGAGAACAATCATGGGAGAAAGAAGGGCTGTTTATGCACAGGGAGACAGCTCAGGGGGCAGGAGTGCATGGCAGTATGGACACAGGGAAGAGGTAACTATTGGAGGAAGTGGGAGGGGAGCTGTTGCATTGGGGTAAATCATAGTCAATATCAGGAGACAATGTGTGTGTGAACTGATGTATGGAAAGTGAATGTGCTCTGTACACTTTCACCCAAATCACACAAGCACACACAAAAAAAGGAGACAGGCCAAAAAACAAAACAAAGCAAAAAAGAATTGGCCAGTGAAAGCCTTATGAATAGCAGTGAAATGCTGCCTGATATAATATTGGAAACTTTATGAATATCCCTGAAACATTGTCTGATATAGTGTCAGAAGATGAGTCCCTCAGATCTGAAGGCACTCAAAATACGACTGGGGAAGAGCTGCCACCTCAGAGTATAGCCAACATTAATCATGTGGATAGAGTAAAGCTTTAAGGATCTCCATTTGCTGGTGCAGAATGACTCAAGATGGGAAGAAACAGCTGCAAACACCCATTAATAATTGGAACATGGAATGTATGAAGGATGAATCTAGGAAAATTGGAAGTTGTCAAAAATGAAATGCAATGCATAAAGATTGATATCCTAGGCATTAGTGAGTTGAAATGGACTGGTTTTGGACATACTGAATCAGACAATCATACTACCCACTATGCTAGAATGACAAATTGAAGAGGAATGGCATGGCATTCATCATCTCAAAGAATGTTTCAGGATCTATCCTGAAGTAAAATGCTGTCAGTGATAGGATAATATCTATATGCCTATGAGAAAGACCAGGTGTTCTGGTCATGTAGTGCCTAAGGCATTTGACTTCTAACCAGAAGTCTGGCAGTTCAAACCCACCATCCACTCCTCAGAAGAAAGGCTGGCCAATCTACTTTCATAGTGGTACTGCCTCAGAAACCCACGGAGGGGTTGCTATGAGTTGGATCTGACTTGATGGCAGTGAGTTTGGTTTTTGGTTTTATGAGGAAGACTGGTTAATATTGCTGTTATTCAAATTTGCACAACATCCACCAAAGCCAAAGATGAGGAAATTGAAGATTTTTACTGACTTCTGCAGTCTGAAATTGACTGGACATGCAATCAAAATGTGTTGATTATCACTGGTGATTGGAATGCAAAAGTTGGAAACAAAGAAGAATCACCAGTAGTTGAAAAGTATGGCCTTGGTAATAGAAATAATGTTGTTATTGCATGATAGAATTTTGCAAGACCAATGACTTATTCATTGAAAATACCTTTTTTCAACAACACAAATGACAGCTGTACATGTGGACTTAGCCAGATGGAGTACACAGGAGTCAGATCAACTACACCCATGGAAAGAGGCAATGGAGAAGATCAGTATCTTCAGCCAAAACAAGGCCAGGAACTGATTGTAGAACAGACTATCAACTGCTCATATACAAGTTCAACTTGAAGCTGAAGTCAATTAGAACAACTCCATGAGAGCCAAACTATGACCTTGATTATATTCCTCTTGAATTTAGTGACCATCTAAAGAATAGATTTAATGCATTGAACACTAATGACCGAAAACCAGAGGAATTGTGGGATGACATCAAGAACATCATCCATGAAGAAAGCAAGGTCATTAAAAAGAAAAGAAAGGAAGAAAAGACCAAAATGGATGTCTGAAGAGACTCCGAAACTTGCCCTTGAGTGAAGAGTAGCTAAAGCAAATGGAAGAAATGACAAGATAAAAGAGCTGAAGAGAAGATTTCAAGAGCAGCTCAAGAAGACAAAGTCAACTATTATAATGAAATGTACAAAGAACTAGAGATAGAAAACCAAAAGGGAAGAGCACATTCAGCATTTCTCAAGCTGAAAGAACTGAAGAAAAATTTTAAGCTTCGAGTTGCAATATTGAAAGATTGTATGGGCAAAATATTGAATGATGCAGGAAACATCAAAAGCAGATGGAAAGAATACACAGTCATGGTACCAAAAAGAGTTGGTCAGTGTTCATGTATTTCAGGAGATGGCATATGATCAAGAACCAATGGTACTGAAGGAAGAAGTCAAAGCTGCAGTGAAGAAATTGGTGAAAAACTAAGGTTCCATAAATTGACGGAATACCCATTGAGATGTTTCAACAGACGGATGCCACGCTGGAGACACTTACTTGGCTATGACAAGAGATTTGAAAGACAGCTACCTGGCAAACTGACTGGAAGAGATCCATATTTGTACCCATTCCAAAGAAACGTGATCCCACAGAATGTAGAAATTATCGAACAATATCATTAATATTGCATGCAAGTAAAATCTTACTAAAGGTAATTAAAAAATGGTTGTAGCAATATATTGACAGAAAACTTCCATAAATGCAAGCTGGATTCAGAAGAACATGTGGAACGAGGGATATTATTGATGATGTCAAACGGATCTT